TCCTGGAGCTCCAAGCTGGAACCCAGGATTGGCACACAGAGAGAGGCCACATAGGGGCAATTCAGTCCAAGGCCCCAGCCACTTGCCCATTCCAGGCGACAACTAGGGCCTTGGCTGAACTGCCCACATATCCTTGGGGAAAACCCCAAGTTCTCTCTGGAAGCCCACTGGGTCCATCAATCACCTGGGGTGGGCCAATCAAACAGGCTGTATCTTTCTGAGGGAGATTGTGGTAAAATGATACACACCCTATACACACACACATACACACAAATAAACACATCAAGAATTGAATTAAATCAGCCCCCAAATCCATCTTGTTAGTCAACAAATGCCGTTACTTGCTTTCTATTTTTGATATGCACAGCACTTTATCTCACATTCAGGAAGAGTTTGATGCAGTCAAGAACTCTGGAGACAGTCAGGCAAACATACAAAATGCTTCTCAGTCTATTTCCTGTACTCCTTCCGGTCTTAACTTCCTGTGAACAAATCAGCTCTCCCACACAGCTAAGCATGACCTACTTCCTTTTTTGCCACATTCACTGCTCTTTAGAGATGATGCAGAATCCTTTCTCTTTGGAGAGAATTCTCAGATATACATGGGAAAGTACAACCTCCAGTCCATACAGCTATCAGAACTAATTCAGAATAATATGACACTTTAAGGAGACATTGCTCCTTAGAAAAATCAGAGGCATGGGACTTGTAGCTATGCATACTTATACAAAGTAAGTCCTGTATTATTAAATACACAATAAAAGCACCAAGTATTCATAGCAGGACTTCTTCAGATATAAATGTTGTTAAAGGCATCTGAAAAACAATTAATGACCAAGCCTAAGAGTGTTCAAAAATCTAGATGCCATCATAATGTCCTAATACTCTCACCTGCCCTCTGAAGAAAAGAGATCTTATTAAAAAATAAGAAAATACCTATGGGAACATAGGATCCTTTCCTATACTATGGTGGTCCGATGCTCTTAAGAGTACAAAGAGTATGCATGTTTACCCAGAAGTAAATCCATCTTGTTCTGGATTGTAGTACGAGCTTGTACAAATGAACATGAATACTTTGAATTGCACCTGGAAACAAAGTGGCTGCTAGCATTGTTAACTCCCGGTCATCTACGTTACTGTTTTGGCTGAAGCTGGCAAATAATGGCTAGTAATTATTACAAATATTAATAATATTAAATCAGTTTTTTATATTTCTGGTTGTTGATGGAGAAAATATCAGGTCAAAATCACTCTAACTGCTTTGGGAAATATTCCACGTTAAATACCGAAAGCCAGTGGGAAAGGAGCTTTACGGGTAAGCACATTCATTGTACCATTAAGTTTCCTCATCACAAAATCTGTACCAAAAGCTCTACATCCACATATACTTGAACGCGTGTTCTTTGAGGGGAAGGAAGGCAAAATGTGGAACCGCATTTTGCATGATTATCCACAGTAAAAGTCCATTAGTCATATTTCTGACGCTGAAGTATCGCAGTATCCCAAATTCCGGTCCAACGACTGAGCATCTCGAAAGTCAACGACTCTCGCGAGACGTGAAACAACCGCACGAATACATATGGCGTGTCACTCAAGGACGCTGCCCCGCCTTTCAAATGGGTTGTTCTCGTCTCGCTGTGGTCCTCGCCCTCTCTGTGACGTGTATTTGCCGGTGAATGCCCGGATGAGGCAGGGTTCAGAGCTGTGTCAGCGAGTAAAGCGATGCGGTTGCACTGGCGGCGGGAGCAACAGCAGCGGTCGTGACAGATACAGAGCGCTGGACGGGTAAGGAGGAGCGCGAGGAATAAAGGCGGGGGGGGCGGGGAGTTATGGCGTCTCTCCATGCGCGCGGGCGGCATGTTGAGAGCACAAGGCAGACTGAGGCACGATCGGAACCGAGTGACTCTCCCTCCCCCCCCCCCCCAA